TGCACGGAAAAATTGACCATTTTATCCACTACAATTGCATTGCTCAAATGTGCTGTTATTGGTACCATTTACTACTGAAAATATCAACGAGATGTTTATTTATATTTGAAGACATATTAAAGGCTTAAGCGCTTGTTTACGACTCGCACTACTATTCATGATTGAACAAAACTTTTGGCAGGTACTGTATGAAAAAGTATGTTTAATGAACAAGAGTCGAGAGTCTAATGAGCTTTTTCCTCCCTACCTACGATTTTGCCAGCGCGCATCCAAGACATTGGAAGGGGTACATCGCTAGAGAAAGTAAATGAAGTATACCACCGTAGAAAATGTTTACTTGTCAATAAAGACTTCCCTTGCATCACTATCTGATCTTTTACTTCACAGGGTGTTAATTTTGCAGTATTCACCCTACATATGGGCATCGGAGTACTGCTTTCATCAATTGTCATTCAGCTTCTACTTCATTTCTTTTACAAGGATGATAAGGACTTCAAGGTCAGAGACAGGGAACGCCAGGAAGTAAGTGGTACGTATTTCGGTGTTTTTGACGGAGCACATGATCCAAGTTTGTTGAGATCAAGACGTATCAAAAGACATAGGGTATTTTTTTATCCAGAAAAAAATACTGTTTTCGAGGGATACAAAAATTAGTTTTGTGGTCATCGATGACTTTTGACACGAATTTAGGACATGAACGTGAGCGAAGCCGCGGGTAAAACCTGTCATGAAATTTTGTATACACATTGTCAGGGGTACAGAAAAGGACGTAGGGTACCTTTCATCCAGATACTTTTCCCAAAGGATAGAGAAATTAGTTTTATGTGGTCGTCGATGACATTTGACACGTATTTAGTATATCAATGTGAGCGAGCTGCGGGTAAAATCTAAAAACGGAAATATTGATTCACTTAGATTCAGATTTTTCTGAACAAAGTTTATTACTTGCTGTAACATTATTGGTAAATGGAACCAATCTGCAAAGTGTTGGTGTTTGGCACGTGTCTTACCTTAACTCATCATTTATTCATAAATTAGTCTCTTCAAGAAGCAAAAGTAACTTTTTTTTCTTAAAAAAAAAAGTTAAAGTAGATTCTACCTGAAACATGATGTTGAATATTTTAAGAACTGAAAAGGGAAATAGCAGTTTGGCAAAGAGCCGTTGCCTCGGTGAGCAGTTACAGTAAAGACGAAGATGTTGTAAAGGAATCGATGATGAAGAGGACATCAAAGCTTATGGGCAAGTTGCAAACGAAGACTGCAAGTTGTAGTAATTCGAATAGAGATCCTTTTGAGGATAATCTGGAGGCTTTGCAGAATCAGGTGAGTTCGTTGAAGGTGGCCTGTTTTCTTCGACCATTTTTTTTTCGTTTCTGCTTATCTTAATATATATTAATTACGTGTCACGTTGTTTGTCCGCGATGGACTCCTAAACTACTGTACTTCACCGATTTTAATCAAATTTGTACGCCGTGTGCCGTTTGATCCAACTTGAAAGATAGGAAAGCTCACATCTCAATTTATGATCGCAATATTCAATAGATGGCGCTATGTTAAACTTCCAAACGTTTCATATATATATAAAATGCTAACGTGCGTACGTAAAGACAGGGTTTTCTCTTTCACCACCAACGCCTATCGACTTCCCGTTGGGGTGGTAAATACCCCCTGGTCTCCTGCTGAAAGTAAGAGAGTTTGGTCGCGGTGGGTGGAAGTGGGTGGTTGTGGCAGGCGAAAATGTGAAAAAACATAAATCTGTCCTTTTCTAACTTATGAGACCTTTTGGAAAGTTCTAAAAATTTCTGAAATGATCCAGAAAGCTCCAGAATGTGTGCAACTGTTATAATCGATCTAGAATGTTCTACAAGGTTTTGATAATTTCTGGAATGATCTAGAATGTTCCAAATTGTGTCCAACTGTTAAAATCGATATGGAATGTTCCAGAAAGTTCTAGATACCATTAAACACGCGATGTATAATACTTCTTCGCTTTCTTGGAATAATGGTTCTTGTTTTTGCTAGACTTACCATATCAGTTTAGAAAAATTAAGAGTATGTGCTTCTTTCGTAACCTTGCAATTCCAGGTCTATCTTTACCGTCTTGTTCACTTAGTCTCAGTTAAAAAATAAAAGGAATACTCACCCCTAATTACCACAAATAAATTTTATATGAGCGGACACGTGTTTCGCCCACTTCACACGTGGGCATTATCAACGCGAGACTTAGTCTCAGTGTTTGTCTTGAACGTGAAAAACTAAGGTAATGTGAGACGAAACTGTAAGACCAACACTGTTTTTCCTCATCACTACTTGGCACCCATTCGACATATATTGACAATATTCGTACTTCCTTCTTTTAAACAGAATCGAACAGAAAATTAATCGGGGAAACTGGACCATCTTAACATCACACCTATTTTTCAAAGAATTTGTTTCTAATTGTTCCTCTTTTATTGCAGTATCGTATTAGGAATAAACCCTTATTAATCAAATCCGGAATAGTACTTTTGTTTGTTATTCCATCATTCTTTCTGCATTCAGTTCCAGAAATAAGTAAGTACCGAAACTACTTCATGCTGACCATTATTAATTATGAAATTATGATGATTGTAAAGTAACCAAAATTCATCTAAACCTCTGGACTCTGGAGGGTCATTATTTTAAACTTAAAAACCATTATTTCTGTGTATTTTTGAAGATGAAAAAGTTAAATTATGATTTTCTTTTGATATGAAATATTATTCTGAAAATTCATTTCTGATTTTTTTTACCCACTACACGCTACCTCAAATTAATGAGGGAAAAATTGTTGCTGTTGTCACACCCCCGCCGGGAATCGAACCCGGGCCCTTTTACGCACCAATGTTCTGACCACTAGTGTGTAGTGGATAAAAAATTCAGAAATGAATTTTCAGAATAATATTTCATGTTAAACTAACTCACTTCTAAAAGATGTCTAAATTGTATGTATGTTTAATCATAGTATATTCAGTATATAGTTACATCAGTTTGACGGATCGTTAACCTTGTAGGTCGGTTGGTCGTGGTTGCTGTTGTCACCTCTCGTAGTTTAGTGGTCAGAACATTGGTGCGTAAAGCCAAAGGTCCCGGGTTCGATTCCCGGCGGGGGTGTGACAACAGCAACAATTTTTCCTTCATTAATTTGGGGTAGTGTGTAGTGGGTAAAAAATTCAGAATTGAATTTTCAGAATATTTCATATTAAACTAACTCACTTCTAAAAAGATGTCTAAATTGTATGTATGATTTTCTTAATTTTTGATGTCAATAGATTAAATCTTGAAAACTATTTTCATAGTTGACCCTTACAACTAAAGAATTTTTACGTTGTAAGATCAACTTTAACAAATCTGTAAATGAAACAATTTTTTTTATTGATATTCCTTGATATTGTTTGCGAAAGGACACGTTTACTAAGAATCGTTTCGCATAATATCTCTCCATGATCAGAAATTGTTGCAGGTCATCTTGGCATGGGTTGGACGGCATTCCTAGGGGCCTTGCTCCTTTTAATACTTTACGACAAAGATAACTTGGATTCAATTCTGGCAAGGGTGGAATGGTCAACTTTAATTTTTTTTGCATCCTTGTTCATACTGATGGAGGTAAGTGGCAATTGAAGATCCTTACATTTCTTTAATCACAAGATTCAAGAATGCCCCAGTGTTTGTGAAAAACCACGCACTTGAAACGTTAACCCCTTAATGGTGAAGACCTGATTATTTGGAATCGATGGTCATGTCGTGTCATATCATGTCATTTGTTCGGGAAGAATTATCTTTCGCTGATAATCATGGTTTACTTCTTCCGGCATTATTTTTGAGTTACATCATTTTTGGGTTGGACATGTTTAGTCATTTAGAATCATCTCAGTTTCGCGCTAATAAAAGTGTTCCATGCAGTAATGCACCTTGATGAAGTCCCTTATTAATTTCTTTCAAGGATAGTAGTATCTTCCATGGATGGATTTGGCATTTCTTTAAGAGATATTAGATATTAGTATGGGACTGTTCGGTATTCTTCCGTGAATATACACGAGAGCTGCATGTGATGCGGAATAATTAATTCGAAAATTCTAAAAGAATTTTTGAAAAGATGTGTTTGAAGTATGGTTCTGTACGGAAAATAGGAGTACAGAGGGCAGACTACATTCTAGTTTTCAGAAAATACGTGGACTCGGTCAGGTTGGAAAGAAGAAGATGTGTGCTTAACCATGCTTCGAACTGACCACCAATTTTTTCGCTATTTAGATCCCATTGGTATAGCAACGCCCTAATGGGCCCGGGTGCGAACTCTTTGATGTCCGTTCCCCCACCTAATCTCATCTGAATTTGTGAATTAGTCTTGCGCCGTGGGGGATCAGGCCCTTTCGGCTTATACGTATTGAAGAGTGTGCCCGAATGGTACCACGCAAGAACTTTTTCAGATTTCAGGATTTACGCATTCTCCTGGGTACTTTGCATTCCGATGATCAAACAGTAATAACATAAAACGTAATTTATGAAACACGTGTGATTACAATTTTCATTAGTGATGTAGTCGATATTGAGCATAAGTTTCAATGCCAAGAAGCTATGACTGATTCAATAGTTCCGTCGGCCTAATAGATTTTACTATGCATCATTTACTGAGCAAAAAATCTAGATGTTAGATTATAGCTTATTATTCTGGACTGCACCAATGTTTCGACTCCACCGGTCCGTGTACCCTGATCTTTGATTTTTGTATAAAATAATTCAAAGTGGTCTGTATTCTGTCGAAACTGCCAGACGCGGATCGCGATTTCGATCTTGTTGGATCTCATCAGCGGGTCGCAGACAGCTCCGACAGAACACAGATCTTTTACCTGCTGTCTTAACAGTGCGTTTTAGAAAATACCACGAATGACGCGGTAAACACCATCTGTAGTACGATGCTACATTTTTGGATTAAGTATGCTCCAACAAGGTCCATTTAAATATATGGATATCTACTTGCTGAAACGAATCCCGGCGTAGCTAATCTCAACGTGACAGGCACGTTACCATAATCGAATAAACTAATTCGAAGTGGTCTGTATCACGTTGAGGTTAGCTACGCCGGGATTCGTTTCAGCAAGTAGATATCCATATATTTAAATGGACCTTGTTGGAGCATACGTAATCTAAAAATGTGGCATCGTACTACAGATGGCGTTTACCGCGCCATTTGTGGTATTTTCTTTGATTTTTGTGGTTTTCCTGCTTCTTATCTCCACGCTATCCTTCTGGCCTATGTATTTCTCCCTGGCTATCATCCACTACCCACAATTCCTGAAGTAGACTAAAGAGGACTATCCATCTTACTCCAGAGCGTCTAGGTCGTTGGAATAGTCCACTCTCTAGCAAGAACATTAAAAATTTTCTATATCGGTCTCTCATTTATTAAACAATCTCTTCACTCTATACCTCCCTTATTGGATCCGTTAATGGGATCTTTCGTAAAGATTATGAAAAACAATTTTGTAGTATCTTGGGATCACTTTAGTGTTGTTGCTGTTCCTCGAAGCTGTAAGTAACCACTCTTGCGTAAAGACATAGACGTGCATATGTTGGTACGTATGTGCATAGACAGTCATGTACATGTGTACATACACGCACACAACGTTGTCTCTTGTTATTAATGCTAACAAGGGGGTGTGGGACTGCACAATGAAATTTCCAACAGTCACTGCATATAAATTGTAGTCTAATAATTACATTCAGCTTGCGTAGCCGGAATTCAGAGAGCCCGACATTCGATATCTCTTTGTGCTAAAGACAATAATTACGACAGACACGGGGGAGTGGCGGTAACGGGCACACTTCATCATAAAACGGCTTAATATCGCACATCATCATTTTGACATCACATCGTTCAAAATATGTTGTACTCTGTATTGATCGTGAAAAGATCGATTCAAAAAAATTATAAAAGGTTTGTTTGAATACAAAACGTACATTGATAATAAGCTTCTTTATATACATCAGGGGAAAACCGTTCTTAAGTCAGTGACGTAATATACGTAATATGTATGACAGGCTTCCATTGTGTGAGACCCTGGCGTAGAGGTGGGGAACCTTCTTGTCATAACAGGTCACAAAAGTAGATGTACCTAAAAATGTTACTTTTGTAAAATTGTAGTTATTGAGATGACTTAAACTTCAGATTATGAAAGATGGTCAGAGCTGAAGAAACTGAAGGATGTCGCATGTGGTCCCGGGGCCACACGTCCTTGCCCTAGGGTCCAGGCCAATAGTCGGTAGACCATTATTCGCGAGCCGTCTGTAGCATTTTGTTAGATTGCTGGAACTCAGCTGCTAGTGGGGTGGGGTGGGGGGAATAGTGGAAGGTGGAGTGCTCAAGGAGCATGCTGCAAGTACCATATATTCGAAGGACTAGAAGTACAAAGGGCGTTATGGAAGTCAATAAAGAAAAGAGAGATGGCAGAACACGAAGAAAATCTGGATTAGATTATTGTTCGCAAAGCTAAGGATGTAGAATGTTCTAGTTTATGAGAAATGCGAGGATTGATTCAACCAATCTTTGGACCGATGACCTTATGATCACGATGATGATAATGATGATGATGATGATGATGCTGCTGCTGTGTTTTCTTCCGGGCTTTTTGGCCGTGGACCGTGGAATCTTACTTTTCCAAACGTTTCGCCGTTCTTTACTGACGGCATCTTTAGTGGTGACTGGGCAGGTGCTGAGTCGTAACTAATCAGTCCAATCATCAAAAATGCCGTCAGCAAAGAACGGCGAAACGTTTTGGAAAAGTAAGATTCCACGGACCACGGCCCAAAAGCCCGGAAGAAAACACAGCATCGATAGACGCCGGCCGTGAAAGCCTAAGAACTACAGATGATGATGATACAAATCGATACGCTTTGACGATTTGATTCTTCTATTTTCAAAGTTTGCTAACTCCTCACTTAGGCTATATCCGTGCAGTAGATTAATTGTTAATTCTTTTTAAAGTGAAACTTTTATTACATCGCCTCAAATTTTTTCGTCCATCTAACGCATGTCGCATTACAGCCGGCCGCGGAGTAAGGGTAAAACTGAAAGGCGCTTGGCAGAGCAGCCAATATGGCGGCGCCCATGGCTCACATGAGCTAACCGTGTACCATTTACATTCTCACTCATTCGTGGAAGTGCATGACAATTACATTTATAGACTGTGAAACTCAAAGCGAAGATGAAATTATTGATCGAATAACTGAAGTTCAAAATGATTCAATGATTTAAGTAAATATTGTTTTCAGTTTTTAACATGCGTCTATCATCTGAATGATTGTATTTATTATGCATTCCGTACTCTCATACGCAGATTGAAATTAAGATTTATAGTAGGATATGTTGTGTACTATTGATTATCATTATCATTTTCCAATCATTAAGATAAGATTAAGAACGCGATTTTAATTTTAATACCCTAAATCGAATAATTTTCCGAAAATTTACAGTTAAATGCCTACAATCCGAAAAGTTTTACTTGCATCGTGGTTTCATAAAACCACACCATTTTTAAATAAATCTACTAAATAACCAAAAAAGAGCTTCACCCCAATTTCCACTAAATCCCACTTCTAATGCGGGCATTATCAACGCTAGTTGGCAAGGCTCATTAATGTTGAACTTTACTTTACATTGTAAGCAATTTTAATGTAAAAACCAAAATACAGGGTGTGACGTGAAAATTGCAATTGGTTATTTTAAGTGCACCAATAAAATATTCCATGATAGACTGACGTGAAAGGAGTATTTACCTAATACAGTTTGTTTGGATTGAAGATAATAGTAATATCGACAGGCGTCTTGTAGCTTACCATGGTACAGATTAAATTCGGGTACATTCCCAATACTATTATAGCGAGCACGAGTATGTTTGTGTGCGATCGGGCACACGTGTGCGTGAACGGCTTATCGATTCGCCGACTAGCCGCGGGCGCCTTTCTTTATGTGGACCGTATTTGTAAATGTGTGTGTCGTACCTGCGTTCTGGGAAAGCAGTTAAACAGTTCAAATAAAAAATAAACTATCCGGATGTTTCCAGAAGGTTCTAGAAAGTAAACAAGAGTATTTAAAGGAAGAGATGATCGCGGACAAGAAATAAATTGACCGTCGCAGAAGTGAATCCAGAAATAAATTGACAGCGATAGTGAAATAAATAGCGCAGTGAATAGTGATACCTATATCAGCAGCAGTGTAAATAAATAGTTTTTTTTGTCGTTATCAGTTTAAGAAATTAATTTTGTTAAACCCACGAACATGACAGTATCATATATGCATGCATAGTTTATGCGTTTATGAGTATTATACCGACACTGTATACGAGTGTAATATCTAAATAAACTTATATTAGGAAAATTAGCATAGAAACGATCGTTGGCAAATAATAAATTCAGCGAATATTGTTTGCATGTATGTAGTTAACGAACAGATCGAAAATATTTTCATTATTATTTATCCAAATATGAGAATTCATTTGTTGCAACGTTCAGCCATGCCGTTTATTTGTTACGAACACATGTTTCAATGCTCAACACCATATTGACGCACAGAATACACTAAGCACAACATTATTATATTTTTATCATTTTAACAAGGAAAATATTACTAGGGGTACAGTTATTAAGTGAGTACAATATATGGAGTTATTTTTTTGTCAGAGTTTAATTCAAATTCGATTGGTTTATTATCTTCAATAACGTGTTGATGGGGCGAACATGTGCAACAGAAAGTTAAGGTTAAGAATTCACTTCCTCTGTTGGTATCGCGGCAGATTTGAATCTGCCAACGTTTTTATACATGTTTTTGAAAGTATAAAACGTAAAGGTTTTGGATGAAGCAACTTTTTTTGAATGTTTTTATCTAATTTAGTGTGAACTACAATATAATTTACTTGGGCGATTTTTGATTAAATTGTGTGTTATTTTGGTTACCTAAAAGTCAAATTACACCATAATCAGATTCATTTAAAATATACATACCTTCTTGTCCACTATTAGGTATACATATACATATACTTACGTATTCTTTCATGCAGACTCTTTTTTTTGTAACGTTATACCATCACTGCTGAGTTGTATGATATACCTGCCCGTGCAATTTCCGAAACATCTTAAAAAAACCCATAAAGTCATTTAAACTGTTTATTATTTTCCGGGACCCGCAGAGAAGAACATTTCAGAAAATATAATTCTGAAAGCTTTTTATTGCTTAAGTTCAAATAAAAAATAAATTACCCGGAAAATAACGACTGAGCAAATATATACCTATGTATGTATGAGCTTATACTTTTTTGAAAACTGTCGGATATTACTTCACGATCAGTTAAAGTGTTCAAAGAAGTAAACTACTAGGCTTGTTTTCATCATGTTTAGACGCTGAAAACAAATGATAGTAATAATCATAATGATAATCATAAGGCCTTCACCCCGAACACTGGTTAGACATACACTTCAACTTCTTCCTTTCTTGAGTCAATCTCTTCTGGAAACTTTAGGTATTAAAAGACGTCCTCGCTCAAAATCTAAATTTAGTTAACAACCGAACAAAGTTATGTTTTGTGTGTGTCCCACTTATTTTATTTCATTAGGATCAGATACACAAATATATGGACTATGTCTGATCGGTATTCTGGAATATTTAAAAGGTAAATTCTGGAGGCAATGATTTAGAACAGTCGCCAGTTTGACAGCCCTTCGTCATTGGAAGCAATAACTGATGCAACACTCATACCTATTCGTGACCTTCGCAACAGTTGGTACACAAATAGGTCAACTGCACGTGTGGCGATTATAAGTAATATTACCTCAAAATAAAAAATAAATCGAGTATAAAAATATAAATTAAAGAACAATGTATTCTCACTCAGAATGTGCATTTGGACGGTACAATGAGAATGTACTGGAGCCATTACGCGAATATGTGTCATCATTGCCAGAGCAATGGGGCTTTCGGTAAGGTCATTATCCTCATGTTAATGTATATCATAGAGTGGTGCATGATGACCCATTCTTAAAAAAGGCGACCACAGAACAAAATTTGACTCTACCTTGAGGAACCTGTAGGGTAATATATCGTGGAGAACTAGGAGGCATTGGGCCATTTCCGGAGGGCATGGGCCGGAAATAGTACCTGGATGGCTCGTGTGGTAGATGAGCATTCTTCATTAAGGAAACGAATGTTAATGTTTTTTGGAATAGAGTTGGAAGAGAATAAAGAGAAGTTTGAGTTGCAAAGATTTATAAAAGAGAAGACGGGAATGGAGGTGGAATTAAGAAAGTATGGAAAATTAAAAAGAAAGTATAAGGGACAAAAATGGAGAAGTGGGAAGAAAAACTACAGGTAGTTATAAACAGTTGAACGCTAGAGGGAAAGATGATATTACTGTGGAAGAGACAAGAAAATAGACAAGGTTGGAATAAATGGTAAAAGAGGAGAGGAAAAAACACGTGAACAGTAAGGTTAAACTTGGATATAAGAAGATAATAATAGATGAGATAGGGACCATTCTTAAAAAAGGGTACCACAGAGGGCCTTTCGTCCTACTCGTCTTAATAATTCGGAGGTTCTACCTATCTACCAATATTAGTAGCTGGTAGGAATAAAAAACATCTAAAAGTATTTTTAAACATTCTTAGTATAGGTATAACTCTAAAACCTTTGATGAATTCAACGGTCGCGTGACCAAAACTTGTCAGAATTTCATTAAGTTGGTGAAACGTTCTGCGTTGTTTTGTTTTACATGTTATATTAAGTCCATTTGTAGGACACGTGGTATATCAAAAGCAATATGGTTGTGTACAACAATTATAATAATTTCTAGGCTTTGTCTAGACTGGGTTTGATTGACTGGATTGGACAGCAAACTGAATCTCTAATAATGTCAGTGCACCAAGAATCAAGATTGGCCGTGGCGATTCTGCTGATTCTCTGGGTGTCCGCTGGAGCCTCGGCCTTCGTTGATAATATTCCATTGACAACGATGATGGTAAAGATTTCAGTGAATTTATCGAAAAATGCTGAATTGAAGTTACCCCTTCAACCTCTCGTTTGGGCACTATCTTTTGGAGCATGCTTTGGAGGTATGTAATATAACGTTGATGTGACATTTTTCAAATTTTACCGCCTTTCTCGTCACGCTTTGAAATAGGGACTTTTTAACTACTCTTTCTGGATTCCAAAGCTCCAATGACACCAAGATGTCATAACGAGATGTTTCATCATCATAAGGTAGTCAGTCCTGAGCCTTGTTGGGCACGCACCTTCACTCCTTCCTATTCTGAGCTAATCTTCGCATTTCCCTAAAGCTAGTATATCCCACATCCTTAACTATTTGCGAACAATAATTTAAATCTAGGTCTACCTCTACTTCTCTTTCTGCCTCTGATATGTCTCTGACTTGACCTTCACTCCTGAGAAGGTGTCCTATCAACCTATCTCACCTATTTTTTATTGACTTCCATAGAGTCCTCTGTTTTCTTATTCTTTCCAATACCTCTTCATTTCTAACCTTCTCTATCCACGGTATCCTCATCATTTGCCAGTAACACCAGATTTCGAACGCTTCTAATCTTTTCTTTTCCGCCGCGCCCACTTACGACCCACGATTAGGTTGATATTCAATAGATTTTTAACCTTTTAGTTTGTACATTTAGCACATTAAGTCGAAGCTTGTTTTGTGGTGTCGCGGGACACCCGGTAGTTCCGAAGTGTCTTACGCTGTTCTGCAAATATTAATTATAAATTTGGGTCAAGGTGTTTTGTAAAAAAAAAAAACTGACAGACATCTAACATACGTATTCCGTAAACGAAATTTTTCTGTTCTACCCTAAGGGGATTTTTTTAACTAAAAGTTCTTCACTCTATTGTGTTATAATTATTTCAGGAAATGGATCGTTGTTTGGATCATCTTCTAATATAATTTGTGCAGGAGTTGCGGAACAACACGGATATAAGTTTTCATTCACGGACTTTTTCAAGTAAGTGATATTTAAACAAAACTAGAAGCCAATTTTGTCATGGTATACCCAGTGGTTAATAAAATATCCTGTAACTTTAACTTGGTGTGAAATTTGGTTTTTGTAATTACGTTTTTTTATTACGTGTTTAAATTGTTGTGAAAAGTACATATTTAATTTTTTAATTCCAGGGTTGGCTTTCCGATAATGGTAGCCAGCGTTTTGGTTGTAACGATATACCTGATAGTGGCCCATGCCGTATTTGAATGGAATTAATGTTGAGGCTCTCTATTAATGGTCATAGTCAATTAAAAACAAATAATTTTACATTTTTTTTACATGATATACGTATATTTAAAATATTTATTGTAGGTAACAATTATTTTTAACATAGAAATATTAAATAATAACAGATATATAATGGAATTTATAGTGGAAGGTTACAAAGTTTTGTGTTATCTCCAAGGAAATAAAAACATATTTTAAATACCGTACGTTTTACTGCTGTTTTATTTAAGCAATGAGGTACTCGATGCATCAATTAAAAATAAAAAGTTGAGACCTTACAAACAGAACCTTTTTAGAAAGAAAAGTATTAATTTTTTTAGGTATAGATAATTTTATTGAGGGTTGAAATTTCAATAACGTTAAACATTGTAACCCGTGGCGGTTAGTCACAAAAGGTGCACGATCATTTCACAGACACTTCTACAGTAATTAATTAGAATTCCATAGTTGGGACGTTTAAAATTGGCATAGTCTGTAATAAAACTGGTAGCATTTACTTTCTTCTTTCGACTTACTAACTAGACTAGAGCGATATTAATTTGAAATCTTTTTTTCGATTTTTTATTTACCCACTACAAACTACCTCAAATTATGAGGGAAAAATTGTTGCTGTTGTCACACCCCCGCCGGGAATCGAACCCGGGACCTTTGGCTTTACGCACCAATGCTCTGACCACTAAACTACGAGAGGTGACAACAGCAACGACGGATCGTTAACCTGGTAGGTCGGTTGGTCGTAGTTGCTGTTGTCACCTCTCGTGGTTGCAGATATAATTCGAACCAGACAGTTATAAAGCCGACCCTGATCTTTTACACACCTAAGCAACCTCTAAATGCACCACATACTGTTATTCGGTTATCTCTTTTCATTTTGTCTGTATTACCCATGAAGCATCTTCTAACTTAACAAGGGCGTGTTCGAAACGCAGCAAATGACTTGACTACAGTCTCAAGTGGAAAAAAGAAGGAAGACACATCCATTCTCACAGATAATTTATTCCGGATTATGCCAATTTTGAGTGTCTCAACTATATGACACTTTGGCTATATGACTAAAGTTAGGGTTGATTTTCACCAACTTATTTTGTTTTTTCTATTCTATATGACAATTTGTTTATATTTAATGAGCTAAAATTCCTCTCCTTAATTATTTCACGTGTGTAAGAATGTTAAAAATCCGAATATTATAAAAAATGGCACTTTTAGTTGATTTTTAACTAGCTCAAGAATTTTTAATTTGATTAGTTTCATCATCATAAGGTCATCAATCCTAAGACTGGTTGGACACGTACCTCCACTCTTTCCTATCCTGAGCTAAACTTCGCATTTCCCTAAAACTAGAACAACCCCCATCCCTAACTATCTCTGACTAGACCTTCATGCCTAAGAAGGTGTCCTACCAACCTATCTCGCCAATTTTTTATTGACTTCCATAGAGGCCTCTGTTCTCCTATTCTTTCCAATACCTCTTCATTTCTAATAAATAGAAATAAAACTGATAGTCTTATGACAAGAGACTTTTTTTGGTTCATTTATTGAGTTTTTATCAAACCATACAAAAGACGCCACTGAATGCAACAATTCAGTTTTAGTTAGTGACGGTATACGCCCTAGACTCAGTTCGACAAGACCATATCCTTACGGGCATGGATCTTGTCGAACATTTTCGAATCTCACAAAAGTAGTAATAATCTGTAGATGGCGTTCACTACGTTGTTTGTAGTAATAAATAAATATCAACTTTAATACTATTTGGTACTCTTTGTAAGCTAACATATACTGAGTGATTAAATATTAGTGGTAAAGTAAATATGATATTTTATTAAATATCCCCACTGTGATATCTAAAGGTCCTCAATAATGCGAATATTGAATATGTTAATTTCAATAGCTAGAAGAAGAGAAAAATTATTTCATGGTGCATTAAAAATTCAAATACTATAGAATTTGAATTATACTTCGTTTACTTTCTTTAGCGATGTGACCTTCGGTTTGACCTGCGTAACGTAGAAAAGAACAGCACTAGGACAGAAAAGGAAGGAGACAACTCTCGGCCAAACTCTTAAGCGGTGAGGAGCGTATAATCCGTACAGTACTGCACGGAAAAATTGACCATTTTATCCACTACAATTGCATTGCTCGAATATGCTGTTATTGGTACCAATTACTACGGAAAATAACAACGAGATGTTTATTTATATTTGAAGACATATTAAAGGCTTTAACGCTTGTTTTCGATTCGCACTACTATTCAGGATTGAACAAAAGTTTTGGCAGGTACTGTATAAAAAAGTATGTTTAATGAACAAGAGTCGAGAGTATAATGAGCTTTTTTCTCCCTACCTACGTATTTGCTAGCGCGCATCCAAGACATTGGAAGGTGCACATTGCTAGAGAAAGTAAATGAAGTATAACAAGTGTGATATGTTGGAACCATGTTCAATTGTCAAATACTGAAAAATACGAAGTATATAAATAAAAAAATTAGACGACTTTCCTCTACATTATTGTTAGTATCTATTTTATTAACAGATGATGTAGCATATCGCTAGGATAACATAGAAACCTACCTGCAGGATAGTTCTGATTTTAACCTTAAATAAGCCACTGGCAGTGAACTTAATTTCCTTGTTTGACCTCATCAGAATGAATGGTATACTTTGAGTGATCGCCTTTAGGTATTGTTTGTGCCAACTGGAATCGTAGAGGGCTTGGCCAATGTTGATAGCCTTAAATAGAACATTAATGGTTTTTTAATATCTTTGTTTGTTACCGCCAGTTAATAAATAAATTATGACAATTTAGGATAATTAAGTCTAGTTATATACTTTACTAAATATGAACATGACAGTTTATTTTAATAGTAATATAGATTCGAATATAAAAATTAGAGAGTATAAACAAGAAGAAGTCATCGAATTTCGATACCTAGGAAGTCGGATGTTTTGTATAAAAAAAGAGTAGCGCAGGATCGCGTTACTATTGTAGCGAGCACGAGTGTGTTTGTGTGCGATCAGGTATACGTGTGCGTGCACGGCTTGTCGATTCACTGACTAGCCGCGGACGTCTTTCTTCATGTGCGCCATATTTGTAAATGTGTGTGTCGTACTTGCTTTCTGGGAAAGCAGTTAAACAGTTCAAAGAAAGAAGAAATTATCCGGATGTTTCCAGAAGGCTCCCGAAGGTTAACAAAAGAGTATTTAAAGGAAGAGACGATCGCCGACAAAAGGAGTAGAAATAAATTGACCGTTGCAAAAATGAATCGCGAAGTAAATTGACAGTGACAGAAGTGAAATAAATAGCGCAGTGAATAGTGGTATATCAACAGTAGTGTATATAAATAGAATAATTCATAACCTAAGTTTAATAATAATTTAATAGTGTTTTTAAGTTCTTTAATAATTAGTGTAAATAAATAGTTTTTGTCTTCGTTTCAGTCTTAGAAGTTAATTTTGTTAAACCCACGAACATTACACTATTAACAAAAATAAGTGGTCACCAAATGTTAATACTGATACTGGAAAAAGTAACAAAGTCAATAGGGAAAAGGAGGGACGTGAAGGGCTACTTAAAGGCATTTTAAAATTAGAAACAGGAGTGATGAGAGGAACAGGTTAACTCAAGTTAAACAGTATTCTCAAATAATTACGGATGTTGGATGAAGTAATTTTCGGGAAAGTTTTCGAACTTACTATAGTTGAGACGTTCAAAATTGGCATAGTCCGCAATAAAACTGTAGCATTTACTCTCTTCTTTCAATTTACTAACTAGGCTAGAGCGGTTGCTGACAGAACGCCTACTTTTACTCACGACAGACGTTGTAGGGAATATCATATCGTAAACATAGAAAAGAGATGTCTGGTAGGAATTGCAGCGGGCACTAATAACATTAAACTAATTGATGTGTAACAGAAAGAGATGCAGACAAAGAGCAGCTGAGCATGTTGCTCGTATCGGACTTTAAAGAAAGTTCAACATTCTCAGCAATTTAACAAAGCAGGAAGCTTTTATGAAGATATAATTCCAACCAGGCAAAATTGGAAAATGGTTGTTAAATAAGAAATAGGCGAGATAGGTTGGTAGGACACCTTCTCAGACATTAAGGTCTAGTCAAAGACATATTAGAGGCAGAAACAGGAGTTAGGAGGGTAGAGGTTAACCTAGGTTAGATTACCGTTCGTAAATGGTCAAGGATATGGGTTCTTCCAGTTTTAGAGAAATGCGAAGATTAGTGGAGTGGAGGTGCGTGTCCACAACCAGTCTTAGGACTGACGACCTTATGCCAACCCTGATCTTTTGTGTACCCAAGCAACTTCTAACCTCTGCACCGCTGACTATTATTCGGTTATCTTTTGTCACTTTATCTGCTGATACTACTCATGAAGCGTTTCCTAACTTAACAAAGGTGTGTTCAAAACGTAGCAAATGGCTACAGTCCGAAGTTGAAACAAGAAAGAAGATACGTCTTTTCTCACAGATAATTTACTGTGTACTTTTGCCGATTTTGATCGTCTCAACTGTACCCCGTGATGATGTTGTTAATGACGATTGTTCGGACTTACCTCAAAAGCAACAAATTCGGCTGAAATACAGTATATGGCAAATTCGAGTAGTTCACTCATGACATACAAGACGCTCTTTATAAGTAAATGCATCAGTCTCATGTCCCGAAGACTAAACAGAAAAAAAAATAGGTTATAGAGAACCACCTTTCTGAGTTCTCTTCTGTTTTTTACAGTATCTACTGCTAATTTTAAGTAACAAAAAAATTAGTAGTAGGTCCCTACCTACTAATAAAAGTAATTTTATAATTTGCAACTGAATAGACAAAAACATTATGTAGGTACGTACATATAGACCATAATATAAACAAAAGAATATCTTTTACCATTCTGTTATTATGTAAGTCTCAAAGCACATCGTAAGGCATAACAGGACGGGGTGGTAAAGCAGTATTGGAGAGAATACCTTCTGTACCCTTCTTAATACCCTGAAACACAAAAATAATATTTTATACATACAGTTTAATTATTCATATGAAAGAAAATGCTACCTGAGTAAGAAAATGTGATACTTGACGCATTTCTTTAATCGTCTGTTACATTCTAATTTATCTTCTTTTGACTTTACTTGGTCAAACTTCAGATTTCCCATTTCACTCGAAAGAATTCTTAGCTGAATCATCAACTCGGTGCATAATGCAATCAGTAGCAAATCAGTTCCTATAATGTTTACCAGGCATGGCAGAATTGTCAGAATTTGGCAAAACGCAACAATCTAGAAATGCAAAAGGTATCTAAGTTAATATCTTTGTTTGTTACCGCCAGTTAATAAATAAATTATGACAATTTAGGATAATTAAGTCTAGTTATATACTTTACTAAATATGAACATGACAGTTTATTTTAATAGTAATATAGATTCGAATATAAAAATTAGAGAGTNTATATATATATATATTCCTTTATGCGTTAAATTAGCAAGGCGAACTTCTTAATGAAGTATTGTGTATTATCATAATAATACGAATTGTGAGCCTAGACAATAGCCTAGCCGGTAGAACGCTGGCTTTCCACACCGAACATGATGGGTTCGAGTCCCACCTGGAGCAGATGATATCATGACTTTGATGTTTCATTGCATCGGTTAACTCAAAAGTTAAAAACCAGAATCGGAACATAGTTTCGTCAGAATGATTACATGTCAGTGAAATAATTAGATAACGCACATTTACGGAAGCATTCGACCATTTCCGGAGAGCATGGACCGGAAATAGTACCAGGATGACTCATGTGGTAGACGAGCATTCTTCATTAAGTCAACGAAACTTTTATTGAAATGAAGAAGACAATAAAGAGAAGTTCGAGTTGGAAAGATTTATAAAAGAGGATGGGGCCGAAGGTGGAAGTAAAGGAAGTCATCATCATAAGACTGGTTGGACACGTACCTCCACTCTTTCCTATCCTGAGTTAAACTTCGCATTTCCCTAAAACTAGAACAGCCCACTTCCTTAACTATTTGCGAACAGTAATCTAGGTCTACCTCTACCCCTCCTAACTCCTGTTTCTGCCACTAATATGTCTCTGACTAGACCTTCATGCCCAAGAAGGTGTCCTACCAACCAAATTATTTGAGTCTATTGAAAGGAATAGTACAAAACAGAGACAAAATATAACAAAATATAACAAAAAAAATATTTAAAGTAAGATAAGACAGTACAACTGAAAAGTATGAAATTTGGGGTTGAACAATGGAAAGTTAATTTTTGTGAATGTCTTTAGGATGAAGGGGCGCGAGGGTGAATAATTAGCTAGCGTAGGTTGAAATTATTTATAATCAGTTTTAATAAATTTCGCTTATTTTATACCTGAAAGGCCCAGCTGAAAAACTGGACACATGTCTTCATACTTCTCCACACTTTGAATTCAGAAGAACGAAGCTTTTTGCGAATGTATTTTTCAAGAGAAGCCATTCTTTTAATGTGCAACTTCACTTTAACTAGACGCATTATTATCGCGAATTCGCGGCATCTAAACAATAACGAAAAGTTAAAATCAACACAATCAGCGTTTTCATTGTTCCATTATTGTTGTTATGATGTGGTGGGCGTGTAAATAAAAATCGAAACGATTACAATTGTATGTCGCAATTTATGATACACTCATGTGGACATTTCCTATTGAAAAATCAATTAATTCTAAGCATCATATCTAAAAGAATTTGATGTAACGGGCGTTGAAGGTAAACGTTAGCAACAAATAGACTATCGTATTATACTGTAACGTTCGTGGGTTTAACAAAATTAACTTCTTGGATTGATAACGATAAAAACTATTTATTTATACTAATTATTAAAGAATTTAAAAACACTATTAAATTATTACTAAACTTAGGTTATGAATTATTCTATTTATTTACACTACTGTTGGTATATCACTATTCACTGCGCTATTTGTTTCACTGCTATCACTGTCAATTTATTTCTGGATTCACTTCGGCAATGGTCAATTTATTTCTTCCTTTTTCGGCGATTGTCTCTTCCTTTAAATAATCTTTTGTTTACTTTCGGGAACCTTCTCGAAACGCCCTGTTATTTTTTTTTTCTTTGAACTGTTTATCTGCTTTCCCAGAACGCAGGTACGACACACACATTTACAAATACGGCGCACATGAAGAAAGGCGCCTGCGGCTACTCGGCGAATCGATAACCGTTTACGCACACGTGTGCCCTATCGCACACAAATACACTCGTGCTCGCTACAATACGTTTTATGATTTAAAATTGAGCTACTTTAAATTTCTTTCTAGTTTAAAACCAAATGTTCATATTAAAAGATTAAAGACGTAGCTGCACCTATTGAATAGTGATGAGCAAAGTAAGGTCAAGACCAAGACTGTTTCAGTCTTTGTAAGGGCAAGGACTATATAAATATTATAAATAAAAGAAAAGCAAATATATTGAGTGGCGTAGTAACTTAAACTAAACTAATATATTCTTCAATATGTTTTTTAAACCCAAAGAATCTATGTGCTTCTGCTAGTTCATTAGGCAATAAGTTCCAAAGCGTTTTAAGATGGAATACAACTGAATGGAATATATAATTTTGAGTGGCGCTAGCTTCGAGGATCACTCTATGGCTTCTGAAAGCATAACTACTATTTCTAAGTCATTTTCAATTTTTAATAGTGATTAATTTGAAATATTAATGTGAAAATTCATTTTCAATTTTCCATCAACTACAAACTACCTCAAGTTAATGAGGGAAAATTTTTGTTACTGTTGTCACACCCCGTCGGGAAAAGAACCCGGGACCTCTGGCTTAGCTCACCAATGCTTTGAGCACTAAGCTACGGGAGATGACAACAGCAACCACGACAAACCGTGCCTACTACGTTACAGATGGGTCGATTTTTTTACTTAGAAGATACTTGCTGGGTATAGGGTCTCCATATTTGGGACCCATGTAATAGTGAAGTAATGAATGAATGAAAACAATTATTGAATTTTGAATATTTTACATGTTGGAAGATACTTATTTTTATATTTTCATTCATAAGTTATATTTGATGCTAGAAAATAATTTATTTTGTAAACAATTTTCTCGAAGACACAACATAAATCCTGATAAATCTACGTGTAAGTACTGCTGTCCATTCCGAAAGAAAGACAGTTCTTGAACAACACACACTTTACACTATTTTAAAAGATGAACTGTTTAAGTGAATAAAATTCTCATACCACACATTCATCTTAATCAAGAGCGATTTTTCCATTTTCTTGACACGACTTTCTGAAGAAATTTCATAAAGAATGAATATGTGTAAATTATTGTAGATTTATCTTGTTATTTGTAGTTGAATAATTGATGTTCTAGGGTAAACCAGGAGGATTCTAGGGTGAGCATGATCCACTTTCCCCTCCCTTCTTAACTGTATAACTTACGTAAAAATATACTTTTCCCACATCAGGTATCCATATGGCATAAATAAATGAACCAGTTACAAGTTTGAATATTTGAAACGAAACTGTTAACGTTGCCATTGCTATATAGCCTTTGTACAAATAATAGAATATCTTCTGATAAGCATTGATATCCTTTTTTAATTCCGGATAATCGTCCTGACTGAGATATTTGTTTCTTTCGGAAATGATAATCCCCACTTCTTCTTTGTTGAAATAGTTTATTAGCGGTTTGACTATAAACTGAAACAAAATGATGTATTTATGAACTTTAAGTTCATCATCACACCATGGATGGTGCAATAAATCATTAATCAAACCAAAACTACTATAGACGCAAAGAAAACGATTATATATCAAAAATGAGCAACTGTGGTACAGTTGGAACGTTCAAAATTGGCATAGTCTGTAATAAAACTGTCACATTTACTTCAGTCAATAGCAACATGCTGGTTTGTACCGTTCGGGTGTTTTTAAGAATCGGGTTCCAGATCTGGTAGAGTCTGAGGGTCCGCTCCTTCTTGTTGAAGTTCTCCAGATGTTTTTGGATGTCGGTGACCTCTCTAACCATTCTGCGGTTGACCGAATGGGAATTTGCAGTTCTCAAGGGGCATTTTGTGGTCGCTGTTGCTTAGTGCGAGTTCGGCCAAAGCCGACTTTTTAGAGTGTCCTAGCCGGCAGCTTACTTTGTGCTCCTTGAATCTCGTTCCCATATACATCTTAGTGGCTCCTATGTAGACCGTACCGCAGGAACAAGATTTGCGCTAGACTCTTGAGGCTGAAAGAGGCAGAGTCTTGAAGAGATATGACATCAAAACCAACTTCAAACCTAAGAAGAAGCTCCAGTAGACCTTCAGATCAGCTAAGGATAAAAAGGACCTTCGTTTAGCCTCAGGAGTCTACCGCGTACCCTGTTCCTACGGAAAGGAACCACTAAGAGACACTCCTAGACGATCTGCACTCTGGTGCCTGAAGGCTCCCCTCAGCCTGCTTAGGGTAAGACAGAGAGGACAGGCGTAATGGGGGCAGTAGAAGGGTGAAGGTTTATATGTGTAATATTGTTGTGCCAGCATTTGGTGACCCAATCCAAGAAAACTACCGCGGAATTTAAAATGAAACAGATGGACCCGGAATCTATTTTATATCCTACCGAATGCTAAGCCATGGTTAGCGATGAGCAAAAATTGTCTTCGTTTTGTGGTTTTGTCTTACCTTGTCTTGGTTGTGCACATTTAACAACCAAGATCAAGTCCAACATTAAACGAATAAGAATAATAGCAAGAATACAGTCAAATGCAAAAAATTTGACATGAATGGAACACACACGTAGTAGTTTTGACCTTCGCAACAGCTTAGCTGGTAGGTATGCTAGGTAGTCCTGATCATGAACGAGCGACATGGCATAGAAGTTTAGACCATTGCTTAGCATTCGGGAGGACGCCGGTTCGATTCCGGGTCCGTATGCCTTGGTCCAAAGTTTTTCTGTGGTTTCCTTGGATCACTTATGCATATGCTGGAGCAGTAATATTCCACAGATAATCTTTCATTGTCGTCTGTCTTCATTTCGTCCGTCTCAATTTTCTCACCCGAACCACCACCCACCCATACCCACGATTCCTGAAAGCAGGCTGAAGAGGGCCTTCCGCACTACCTTCCGGCGTAGTCCGGAGGGACTGCCCGTCCACCAGCATTACTGGCTGGTGAGAATCAAACACCCAAAAGTTTTAAACTTTTTTTTTCCTAATCATGGTTGGCGGAGCAATAGGGGTTTTCGGTAAGGTCATTCTCCTGAACTTCCTTCTTTGTTAGTTTTTTGAGTAATGATGAGTGGTGAGACATTTGTAGGCATATATCTACATATACCATGCACTTAATTGTAATACGTACCATGCAAAACGTCAAAGATGATTCTGCAGATTCAGAAAATTTTTCCAAACTATTGTCCAAATAGCCAAAGTTCTTACACGCTAGCAAAAAGTAAGTTACAAGGAAAACATAGAAAGTAAAGTATGATACTTTACGTGTTTTGCTAAGACTTTTTGGCTGAATACCTCCAAAATAATCAAGAATCTTGTAGACAACTTTTATGAAACAGTCTATGTGGTTCTCCATATCTCTATACGAACCTCTGCAGTAAATACTGGAATATGCAACTACCAGCAGTCTTTCTGGGTAACTATTTCGTTTATACGTAAAAGCATGCAATTCATAATACGTATATTACTTGACGAAATAAAAATATATTTCTAGCTATTAACACACTTAGAGAAGGGCGTTCCAAGGTGTTCTGATCTATAATTTTCTTCAACTTTTTTTAATATGTATTTATTAAAGAGAAAAGTTTTAGAAGTAATGAAAAACATACAGGCACGTAAGTCAAGAACTAACAGCTGTGGAAATGAAACTTCTTTTGGAATGTTTAAACTGTTATCGAGGAGGAAACAAAAAATTGCAATGAAATGGAAAACAATTTATTTAAAACTATTACAAAAATAATTTGTATAATAAATACGCAAATAAAAGTGTGTGCAAAATCTAGAATTAAATATTATAAAAGTTTCACGTACATAACCTTTAAAATTTTTTATATACAAGTGAAATTTCTGTAGTATTTATTTGTATATTTTACAACTTCCTTTCAACCACCCAGACTTAACCTTGTACTTGCTGTATGTTAAAATCCAGGGTGTAAAACTGCAGCAAAGTCTACATTGGACAAACGAGAAGATCCTTTAATCAAAAGATCAATGAACGCAAAATGTTATAAACAAAAGAAAAGTAGATTTTATCTATGCGGAACAAATTATTCAAAAGAAATAAAAGTTTAATAACCGCTGCAATGCTTTAAATATTTTTAGTAAAGAAAAGAACTGAATTAAGAGAAATTTTGTCTATTTTATAAATACTAACTACCCATTTGGTTCAAATTCAGCAGTCGACACTATTGGTAGCTAATATGAAATAAATAAATCTTGTATGAATCATTTGATGTTTTCTTTAATAAAATCGGGAAATTTAGTAACGTCGGTATAAACTCCAGGGGCTCCAGTAGAACAACCCCTTCCAAATGAAACTAGACCAACGAGGGAATCTTTCCAAACCAATGGGCCACCAGAATCTCCCTAAAAATTAATTCATTCGTATTACCACATAATTTAAGTACGTACATTGGGAGCAGGGGCTAACCTGCTGACCATTACAACATTTAAATACCGTCGTAGCCTACACTGGGATTTAGGATGTTATCGTTTGATGAGAATTCGAATTGGAGGGTAACAATTGGAAAAAAAGAGAATGGTCTAAATATCTCTATTCGGGCGTGTAGTTGGTTGCATATACAGGGTTCGGCAATGAAACGGGAAGATTTGGGGTGGGGCTTGCAGCGCGCTTTGAAGTCGTAGGGAAGACAGTCACAGGCCTGCCGGAACCCGAGTGGCTTGCCATTTAGTCTGCAATGGAGCGTTGGACGCGTGAGCATCGCGGTTACGCAATTAAGGCTTATTATCAAAATGGCGATAGTTTAGTGCAAACGCGTCGGGATTTTCGACGGCATTTTAACATACCACGTTACCAACCTGTTCCGTCAGACAATTCGATTAAAATATGGGTAAACAACCTCGAGCAAACTGGATCGACCTCTAGAAAAAGAGGTGGTAGTGCCAGAACGATTCGAACCCCTGAAAATATCGAACGTGTTCGACAAGCAATGTTAAGAAGTTAAGTGATTATCAACAGCGTCTCAGATTTTGTGAAGTGATGCATGCCAGGTTGGTAGAAAACGGTGACCAAGTTAACAACTTGTGGATGAGTGATGAGGCACACTTTCACCTCTCCGGTTTTGTTAACAAACAAAATTTCAGGTACTGGGCGGAAGGGAACCCTCGTTTGCTTCATAAAACACCTCTTCATGCTCAGAAAGTGACAGTATGGTGTGCAATGTCGGCAAATGGAATCATCGGTCCGTATTTTTTTGAGGATGAGGCTGAAAATGCCGTTACCGTTAATTCTGAGAGATACGTTGCAATGATTCGGAACTTGCTCACACCTCAACTTCACCGCTTTCCAGTTAATGAAAACACACTTTTTCAACAAGACGGTGCAACAAGCCACACTGCAAGAATTTCAATGAATGCGGTGAATGCATTGTTCCCAGGGCGTGTCGTTTCTCGAAACGGGGATATCGCTTGGCCCCCTCGGTCTCCCGACCTTACTGTCTGCGACTTCTTTTTATGGGGTTATCTGAAAACGAAAATGTTTGGTACTGATCCACCCAGGACAATCCCGGCCCTCAAACAACGAATTCGTGACGAGATTGCAGCAATACCTGTTGATAGGCTGCGAAGAGTTATGCAGAACTTTCAGGCTCGACTCCATGAATGCATAGGTGTCAACGAAGGTCATTTGGCAGATGTAGTTTTCAAAAAATAATTTTTTGTAACATTGTATAT